TTCAATTATTTTTTATCATTATTTTGTAGAAAACTTTATTTTTTTTGCTCAACTTAGAATTTTTTTCACTTTGGAATTGTGAAACACCTGTATGAGAGTTATACCTTATACTTTATTCCATGACAGAATATGCGTAATACATGAATTCATGTAGAATATGCGTAATGCCATAGAAAATTAAGTATTAAGATAACCCTCATACAGACATTTTAACAATTCCTAATGAAAAAAAACCAGTTTCACAAAAAAAAACCTTGTTCCGTCATAAAATGCATTGCAATCATGCCTCCACTAGTATAGGTCTTGGGGTTAGATCTAGTATGGAGTTTTTGTTCTGAATAACTATTGTTTCTCCCTTAANGGTTAGGTCTAGTATGGAGTTTCTGTTCTGAATAACTATTATTTCTCCCTTAAAAAAAATAATAATATCTTCATCATGTAATAATTTTTATTGGAAGAAATGTATCCCACCTAAACTACTTTCTTTCAAGCACAAGAAAAACTGTAAAACCTAGCACTGACACAATGAAAAGAGAATAGGTAAAAATTTATTTATTATTTATTTATTTTAATTTATAAAATTTATTTATGTAATTTTTTTTTAAATTATATGTTAGCATCCTCTAATATTAAATAACTATCAATTATAACAATTAAATATTGCTAATTGTATGAACCTTATATCATCCTATGCCCTTTTCTTGGCACGGCACTGATGCCAATTTTAAAATACAGTAAAACCTGGATAAGTTAAANCCAATTTTAAAATACAGTAGAACCTGGATAAGTTAAGGCTCAAGGGAAATTATTTTTTTAACTTAATAAGGTTTTTGAACTATTAAAAAAAAAATTTGACTTAAAATTATTTAAGAATTTGAGTTTGTATTCAACACTTATTTATAAAAATATAACAGATTGATTCCAATTGGCAATACTAAAATTTGTGAAGTTTTAATGAATTTATGTATTTATTTTAATAATTAACAGCTTTTAAATTTAAACTAATTGCTTTAACTAGTCTAACCTACCACATTCAAATTTTTTAGCTATACAACTACAAATAATTTATTTGTATTATCTATATTATTTATTTCTTTTGAGTAAAATTTCCTTTTTCAAGGAACGCAATATTCTTAACCTTATCAAAATTCTACTGTAGTAAACATATTATCTATAAAAATAATAATTTTACTATAATTTTTTTTTAAATACTTGAAAGTAACATATAAAATAACAATTACTTATATCTTAAATTTTAAGATATTTTCTTACTACTCCCTCTAATATTATATCATAAAAATAGTACTATAATAACTACATGTATTACTTTATTACATTGCCCTATTTTAATTAAAAAAATTAACAATTACTATTAGATTTATTTATTTTTTGCAATCTAATATTGTTCAAAGAAAATTCAAATGAGAAATTTAGTATTAGAAATACTGTTATTGTAGTATAACAATTCATTCTAATGTTGATCTGATATGAAATTAAAGCTTACTAATGTAGTATGTTAAGACAAGTGTATACAAAACCAATAGACATCAAAATTGTACAAAAACTATAACTGAAATCAAATTTATAACAAAATAAATTAACTTACATGAAATAAAATTTGTAATACTAAAAAAGGAAAAATTATTTCATTAAACTCACTTTAGTTTGTTCAAGAACTATATGTTAATTCGATAGATGACTTTATTATGATAGACAGTAATAAAAAATCATGATTACAATCTTTTTTTGTTTCTTAATATGATTAGGATATTAATCTTATGATATTGAAGTATCTTAGTTTACTTATAAGTGCATACTTAATAATACAGATGATAACTTACAATATCAGGTATCAAAACTAAAAACTGAAATCAAATTAAGGAATAGATTATTAATTATTAAAAAAAAACTAAAAACTGAATTTATATTAAAACAATTTTTTTAACAAATTTATTTACTGTTGGCAACTTTCTAAACAAAATTCAAAATAATTTTAATTTATGCAAATTTTTATATATTTTAAGGACACTTGTTGCTATTTAGTGAAATAAATTAAGTGTTCTAATCCATGCACGCTTAATTAAATAATAATAGCTATGAGCACCATATCAAAATGGTTGCTTAATATTTATTTATTATCTACAGAGAAACATAACACAACCATAAGTTCTCTTTATAAAATTGTGTATTAATATTCAGTAGCTGATCCATACAATTATTCAATTTGAGAACTCTAATTTAACTAAGATAAAAATTATTTTAATTAATCAGTGAAAAGTTTAAAATCAGTTTTAAAATTACATTATTTTAAATTTAGCAATTTAAAAATAGTATTTTAACATACTTTCATAATAAAGGTTATTGAAGTTTATTACATACAAAATGTTTTAAAATATCATATTATTAATATCATTTCATTTATAACATTCCCAATTATACAAAATTGTTTAATTTCAATATGGATATAATGTCAAATTTTTGTCTATTTGCTATCCAATTTAAAAAAATGTATTCAGNTGGATATAATGTCAAATTTTTGTCTATTTGCTAACCAATTTAAAAAAATGTATTCAAATAGTTAAATTTAGATAATTACTTACAAAATTGTTAAATATAGTATACCAATATTGTTCTGTATATTATACTCATTTTGGAATAGTTGGAAAATAAATTAAAAATCTCAGTGAAATCATTAACTCTCCTCCGTCAAACCCACAAATCTATACAGACGCCTCCAAAACCAACTTAGGCATCGCGATTGCTATCATAAATGGCCATCAATCTATATCGTACAAACTACCAGACCATAACAGTATTTATACGGCGGAATACTTTGCACTCCTGGAAGGAGTCTACCTAGCCATTCAATTACCTGTTTCAATCACTAACATTTGTACAGATTCACTCAGCGCTCTTAACAATCTTAAGTATAACTGGCACTCAAGCACCCTAGCAATTAAAATAAACAACATCATTGTGGAATAGATGGCAATGAAAAAGCCGACCTAGTAGCTCGTGAAGCAGTAAATAACCCTCTAACCGAGATACGCACATACTCCTCACTCATTGACATTCATAGGAATGTAAGCACCTTTTGTACAAATGTATGGGAATCCGAATGGCGGCGTACACCTAATAATAAACTAAGGGAAATAAAAAATACTACAGAATACTGGCCCAAACCTCATACATCAAATCGCAAAGACGAAGTAGTTATCAACAGATTACGTATTGACCACTCAAAGATGTCTCATGGTCATCTTATGTGCAGAGAAGATCCTGCAATGTGCCAAACCTGCGGAGAACCTCTCACAGTCAAGCACCTCCTTATCCAATGTCGTGACCATGTAGATGCCAGGAAAAGATTGGAAATGCCTGATAACCTTTTTGAAGCCCTCAGCCCAACCCACGACAACACCATCAAAATAATCGCATTTCTTAAACAAATCGATATGTAAAACTCAATTTAATCAACCATTTTATATTTGTATCAAACTAGTTTAAGAAATACTATGTATAATCAATATGTGGCATAATACTTTAATTTTATTCAAGCTAATAACCTTAGAAGTTGAAGCTTAAAAAAATAAAAAAAAAAAAAAAAAAAATTAAAAAATCTATAGCCTAAGAAAGATCATCAATACATGTTTTTGGAGCCTGGAGTTTTTTTAAATCTGGCCTTAATTATACTATACATCTAATATTACATCATTATATCGACTTACTTTTAAAGTAAAATGTGCACTACAGCAAAACTTATTTTTCTCAAAAGAGAAAAAAGATAAGTTTTTCAGTAATTTTGTCATTCAACAGCAGCAAATCCAAAACTGTAAATATCTTTAAAAATTAATCTCTTTAATTTTTCGGTAAATTTCTTTTTTTCTGCAGCTATTTCATAAATAATGTTATTAAGACAGATCTATAAAATTTACTTCATTGTCTATTGTACTCGCCTATTATTCGATTTTCTTNAAATAATGTTATTAAGACAGATCTATAAAATTTACTTCATTGTCTATTGTACTCGCCTATTATTCGATTTTCTTTAAATTAATTATTTCAATAAACTTTCAAATATAATTTATTAATTGTAACAACATACAAATAAAACAGTTTTTTTATTAATATACTGCACTAAAACACTATATTTAGATAATAATTAAACAATGTAACATTATTGATGTACAAAAGTGTTTGACCACGCAATCTTGTAGTACTCGATGTACACCAAAACCTCGTGACAGTTGTCACATAACCATAATAATGAGGGATGACCTTATACAAGGCTGTTGTCCGTACCTTATAAACTAGGGAAGTTGATTTTTGAAAGAAAAAAAAT